TCCTGCAAACCTGGTTAACCTGGGATTTGAATGACATGTCCTGGTCAAAGATAACACCAAGGTTCCTTACTTTGTTCTCGGAGATTAATGTAATGCCATTCAGGTCAGGTGATTGACTAAGCAATTTCCTTTTCTGAATTTCATGTCCAAAGATGAGAACTTCAGTTTTGTCTTGATTTAAAAGCAAAAAGTTTAGAGTCATCCAATTTTTATGTCCTCAAGACAAGCCTGTAATCTACCCAACCAATTAAGTAGATCAGCGTTAATGGATACATAAAACTGAGTATCGTCATCATAACAGTGGAAGTTTATCTAATGCTGTCTAAAGATTTTACCAATAGGGAGCATATACATAGTAAAAAGAATTGGTCCAAGCACAGAACCCTGTGGTACTCCACAAGTAACCCTGGAGTATGAAGACGATTTGTCATGTACATTTACAAAATGAAATCTGTCAGAGAGGTAGGATTTCAACTAGCTTAGCGCTTTTCCTTTGATCCCTACAACATGTTCAAGCCTTTCTACAAGAACATTGTGATCTACTGCGTCAAAAGCAGCACTGAGATCTAACAAGACTAGAACAGACACAAGATTCTTATCCGAGGCCATGAGAATATCATTTGTAACTCTCACTAACGCAGTTTCAGTGCTGTGATACTCTCTAAAACCAGACTGAAATTCCTCAAACAGAGCATTAGTGTTTAAATGCTCACATACTTGGATGGCCACTATTTTCTCCAGGACATTGGATAAAAATGGAGATATTGGTCTATAATTCATTTGGGCCATCTGGATCCAGAGAAGGCTTCTTAAGTGAAGGTTTGATTACAGCAACCTTAAAATCTTGTGGTACATATCCATTTACTAAGGATGGATTGATTATATCTAGAATGGGGGCAGTAACCAAAGGAAATGCTTCTTTAAATAATTTGGTTGGGATTGGATCCAAAATGCAAGTTGAAGGTTTAGATGAAGCTAATATTTTTGATCAATCTGAAAGCTCAACTGGATCAAAATGGTTCAAGCACAGATGAGGTTCTATAGTCACCTCTGATGCTGCCTCACTTACTGAGGAAGAAGAAATCGCATTGGGGAGGATGCTAAAGATTTTGTTTCTAATAGAATTAATTTTACTTGTAAAAAATCCCATGAAGTCATTGCTGCTGAGGGCTAAGGGAATAGATGGTTCAGAGCTATGATTCTGTGAAAGTTTAGCAACTGTACTGAAGAGAAATTTAGGATTATGCTTATTCTCCTCAATTAATGCTGAGAAATAAGCAGTTCTAGTTTGTCGAAGCTTATTTTTATAAAGCACAAGACTATTTTTCCAGGATAGGTAGGCCTCCTCATGGTGCGTAGAGCGCCATGTTCTCTCCAATTTCCTAGAGTTTTGTTTTAAGGCTCGTAAATGAGAATTAAACCAGGGAGCCAACTTCCTGTCCCTAATTACCTTCTTTTTTAAAGGGGCAACATCATCTAATGCCACACGTAAAGAGGAATTAATATGATGAACTAAGGCATCAATTTGTGAGGGGCTAGAACTGAAAGTATTGCCCTCTGCTACTTGCCTCTGAGATGCTGAGGACAGTAAAGATGGAACAATTGATTTAAAAGATGCAACTGCGTTGTCAGATAGAGACAGACTATAGTGAAATTTACTTTCATGTCTCGAGAACTCAGTTATAAAAAACTCAAAGGTTATCAGAAAGTGGTCAGAGAGGACTGGATTATGTGGAAAGATCGTTATTTCCTCACACACTATGCCATAAGTCAGCACAAGGTCTAATGTATGATGGCAGGAGTGGGTGGAGCTATGTATTCTTGGAGTAAAACCAATTGAGTCTAAGATATTACTAAAGGCTACATTGAGGCTATCATTTTCAATGTCCACATGAATATTAAAATCCCCCACTACAATGACCTCATCAGTATTTAGCACCAAATCAGACAAGAAATCAGAGATCTGATCCAAAAACTCAGAGTAAGGGCCTGGTGGACGATATAAAACTACAAACAAGAGTGGTTTTACAGTTTTGCAATCTGGATTAGGAAAACTAAGAATAAGATGTTCGAACGAACTGTAGCTATTAATTGGTAAGGAATTGATTAAAGTCCGAATGAAAAATGGTTGCTACTCCTCCTCTTCGCCCTGTTTTTCGAGCAATATGATGATTTAAATAATTTGAAGGAGTCGACTCGTTTAAGCTAACATAGTCCTCTTGCTGCAGCCAGGATTCTGTGAGAGAGAGCAAAGAGATCTGATTATCACAAATCAAGTCATTAACTAACAAAATCTTAGAAAACATGGATCTAATGTTCAATAACCCACATTTAATTTTTCTAGTTTTCTGCTCAGTTGAGTTTGTTCTAATATTTATGAGATTTCCATGATTTGCTTTATTAAGCCTGATATTTAATCTGTGTGATTTTGGCCGTGGGTAGGACACTGTCTCTCTGGGGTAGTGGGTGGGTAACAGTACAGAAGCTGCAGAGGAGTGTGTTAAACTACAACTCTGCTTCCTGGTCTGGACCCTGGGTTGTCATGGAGGACTAATAAAACTGGCCATATTCCTAGAAAGAAGAGCTGCTCCATCCAAAGAGGGATGGATGCCGTCTCTCCGCATCAGACCAGGTTTTCCCCAAAAAGTTTTCCAATCATCAATGTAGCCCACGTTGTTTTCAGGACACCACCTAAACAACCAGAGGTTGAAGGACAGCATGTGGCTAAACATGTCGTCACTGGTCCGATCAGGCAGGGGGCCAGAGAAAATTACGGAGTCCGACATTGTTTTGGCAAACTTGCACACCGATGCAACTTTAATTTTAGTGACCTCCGATTGGCGTAACCGGGTGTCGTTACCGCCAGCGTGAATAACAATCTTACTGTATTCACGCTTGTCCTTAGCTAGCAGTTTCAGATAAGATTTAATGTCGCCCGCTCTGGCCCCAGGTAAACATTTAACTATGGTTGCTGGAGTCTCTAATGCCACGTTTCTGACAGTGGAGCTGCCAATGATCAGAGTCGGATTGTCAGTGGGTGCGTCACTGAGCAGGGAAAATCTATTAGAAACGTGGACGGGTTGGTGGTGGCCCACGGGCTGGGTTCTATGCTTCCTGCATACCGTCACCCAGCCGGCCTGAGGTGCCAGCTGCTCGGGTTCTGCTGGAGGATCGCTACGGGGTGGTTCTGAGCTAGTTAGCCCCACGCTGTCTAAGTAGCTAAGGCTGTTTATGGGTTTTTCAACAGCGTGGAGTCGGAACTCCAATTCCGACACCCTCGCCTCCAAAGCTACAAAAATGCTACATTTATTACACGTACCATTATCGCTAAAGGAGGCAGAGGAGTAACTAAACATCTGACACAGAGAGCAAGAGATAGGAGATGGAGAAGCAGAGACAGAAGTAGCCATAGCCGTGCTGAGGCTAAGCTAACTGGACGAGCAAACTGTTCAACACCAAATAAACTGTGTGCGGACTCGCATCAGTGGCGGTGCCGGGGGGTGCTAGGGGGTGCTATAGCTACCCCTGGATTAGTCATAGCACCCCCAAGTAAATATTAGATTTTTTTTTTTACAATTTAATTTTCATTTAATGTGTGGATGTGATCATATTTAAAACAAAAATAATCAGTAAATTATCATATAGATGGTAAAAACTTAAACCAAAACAGGAAATTGATGTTAACCTTTGACCTAATTTTCCACCTGTGAACGAGTGAAAGGTAGAGCTAGTGGTAAGATGGATCGGTTTTTGTTGCCCACATTTCCACGGTTTCAGTCAGAAACGAATGAATCTTTGGAAGTGATCTCAGACCCACAAAAACCTACGGATCTGGATGAAGAGAGTCAACCCTCAACCGCTGCAGCAGTCGAGGGTTTTGCCGCTGGAAATGCTAACACTAACGTTAGCTAACCTTGCAACACTATTGATGGTTTTCTGTGTGGCTGTATGTGTTTATGATTTCATGGAAAAGTCAGCGATTGTTCATATGTTTATGATGTATATTAATGATTGTTTCAGGTGTTGTTGAGGTGTTGTGCACGCATGTGTATCTGCTAGTGTTGAAGGTGTTTTAGAGAACAATAGGTACGCATGACCACTTCCTTCATAGCACCCTCAATAAAAAGACTGGCTCCTTCATAGCACCTGCACTGATTTGATTTTCATTTGATTTAATTCTGGTTCTTTTAGGTTTAATGTGTTCTTACCTGCATTGTTGTGGTATTTCTGTGCTGTTTTTATCCATTGGTGAATTGATTCTTTCCTTCATCCGCTCACGCAACAAACAATTAAGATGAAAATGTCCGTTATGCAGAACTGCGGCGTCAACAAGTTGTCGTCGGTGCTCCAGTCTTGGATCTTTCATATGGATCAAAACCATTTACAACACCGATTTTGTCCACATACCGGTCCCCGGCGTCTTTATTTAACGTATCCCTGTGCATGCTGCATCCTTTTTGGGAACTTAACATGTTGTTTAACACTTTCTTTCACCCAAATCCGCTTCTTCTCTACAACATACTGTTTGTTTTCACGGTTTGTTTACACTCGTCATGACGCCAACATGTCTGCGCACATCCCAGAATGCTATGCTAATCACATGTGATCGCAAGCCCTATTCTGTCCAGAGGACGAGTCTGAATATGCAAAAAGCATCATGAAGTGCGGGACTAGCCAGCTCAAAAATAGCCTTAAAAATGCGGAAACTGTATCATGCAACATTGAAGTACTGTAGCTGTGGACAAAAATGGTGTCTGTTGGTGGCGCAGACATCTTTCTTTAGCAGAAAGGCTTCTAGAGCTTCTTGTTGAGGTTTTAAAGACGTGTCCAAGTCATTTAGAAGAGCAAAGAGCCAATGTCTCTGTTGTTCACCAGAAATGGAGTTGCAGTGTGTGTGACATACGATTGGCTCGGTTAGAATTCTCGGGGGGGGTATTTAAATAGGAGCGTTACCAGACCCTTTTCTTCCCAAAAGGAAGCATGGAGCTGGCTGGCCAGGCTATCTTCTAATGCATGCTTTTGTGCTTTTATTTATAATGATAACATCAGATCTTACAGCAGAGCAGCACATCTTGAGTGACAGCTGTTAGCCACGCCCAACATACAGGTTTAAAACACAATGTTGTGTGAGAACACTGAGTGAGTTGGTTCTGGTTCTGGAACCAAAGCCTATGAACCTCACCGACAACTGTGAGGTCCAACAGTTCTGATCCAAGGAAACAGTGTCAGTCCAAAGGTCAGGTTCATCACAGAGCTCATGCTGAACCCAGCTGTCAGAAGAAGCCCTGCAGGTCTGGGATCAGAGGTTCTTCTCCTAGAATTCCCAGTTTCAGGATTTAGATGAATTTGGTTTGAGGATTTCTGATCATTCATTAGGAACTATAAAAGAGACAAAAGCTCTAAAACAGAAGCAAAAACATTTCAGTGATGTCAAACCCAAGCAGCTGTTGCCCCCTGTTGGACCAGTACAAGAACCGCAGCAGAGACGTCCTTGAGGACAGTCCCAGAGTCCCTCCTAGGGCCTGCTAGAAGTGTGTGTGTGTGTGATTTTATATATACAGCATATATATGTGTGTTTAGTTATGCGCTGTGTGTGTGTGTGTGCGTGCGTGCGTGCGTGCGTGCGTGCGTGTGTGTGTGTGTGTGTGTGTGTGTGTGTGTGTGTGTGTGTGTGTGTGTGTGTGTGTGTGTGTGTGTGTGTGTGTGTGTTATATTGTCAGGTCCTTGGGGTTGACCACCTTGCCGATAAAGAGCAGTGCTCCTGATGGCTCATCTCTGATCAGGTAAATAAAGGGTCGGTCCACTCGGTAAGTCAGGTGAGATGGTTCCAAGGTAGCAACGGGATACTGGTTTCCCTCAGGCGCCATCTCCATGACAACCTTGTGATGTACACTGCTTAGTTTGGCGGGTTGGATCGAGATGTCATCCAGTTCTGGGTTTTCCAGCCACTCTGAGAGACCTGCAAGGCCAGTCGAAAGGATGAGTCACGACTTTGAGTTGCTACATGTTTTACGGTAAGAAAAAAGAAACCTAAAAATTCTTCCCAATCAGGTCTTTTCAGATTAGAAGGGTTTGGCAGCTTCTCTGGTCCTGCGCCTAAACACCTGAACTAGGAATCTATGACAAGTGGTATCCTTGTCGACTTTCAAGAACTTTCTGAGGACCCAGCTCTTCAGAGAGCTTTTTTTTTTTTTTACCGTGTCCTGTTCGGCTGTGATCAGAACTGACGCCTGAATGCCGAAGACGAGCCTTGCGGTTTTATTCTCACAGGTGGAGCGTTCTAGCTTCTGCTATAATGCTCCTGACACCAAAACTTTATTAGAAATATTTTTGGTTGTTTTAAACACCAACGGACATGGAGACAGACGTGTCAGAGAACGGGGGAGAGAGGTGGGGGAGGGGGGTTCACAAAAATAAACAAGAAATGATTAACAAGAATCTGCTTCTAGACCTGCACAGAGAGAGAGAGAGAGACACACACACAAATATACAACAAGACTAAAGCACGACTGCACCAACATGAGGATGTATAACAGTAACTATTTCTGCTGAGAAACACACGGTAATAACTCATAGTGCATTTAGTGCCGACCACAGCCACCACACTGATGATGTGTAGGGAAGTCCATCCTTATGAGAACATCTTCTAAGCTAGAACCCTCCCAGCGCCCGTCCCACACTCTACTGTCCACTCCATGTTCACTTCCCTCTAGGATTCATTACGCTGCCTCACTGCCACCTAGGACTGACTCATCAGTGCTTGTTGTTAGCCTCAAGGGCAACCTGCTGCCTCATCATCACCTGTAAGTCTCTTTGGACAAAAGCGACTGCTAAACACATAAACTTAAACATGACGGTGGACCCAATAGGCTTCTCTACTTATCTGAGTTTTGTGGAGAACTGGACCTTAACTTCTTACCTGGTTCTGTATCAGGGTCAGGGTCCAGTTTGGTGACTGTGAACTAAGACCCTGAACCTGGGCTAGAGCAGTGATTGTCAATTGGTCTGGCTTTGAGACCCACAATTACCTCCAGATGACAAGCTGTGACCCAAATACATCAAACTAAAATTACAGTTAAATTATATTCAAATATTTAAAATATTAATTTCTTCTAGTTATGATTTTAATAAAAATCTAAACTACTTTAAAGAAAATTAGCCCTCTGGGGTCCATGGACGTGTATCCGCGTGATGAAAATGAAGGCAGAGATGCAGCTCCTCGGAGATCCAACAAGAGGAGTGGGCAGCGCCGCGCAGCTGTCAGATCTCGACTCCGCGGCGTGAGACAGAGCCTCTCCCCACTCCAAAATGCATGTACATTATTGCCAAATTAATAAAATAAGAATAAATTCTGATAGTCCAGGTTGTCCTGAAAAAAATGATACCCCATAAGGCAATATTTATTGTTTTTATTGGAAAATACAAAAGAAAAACCAAAATGAGTCAAAAACGGTGAATTACACCCTGGACCCCAGAGGGTTAAGTAACATTTGAACCTTTCAGCCACGTTCACTGATGTGGGTAGAGCTGGAGGAATGCTAACAACGTTTTTACTGCTCAAGTGGCAACAGGACACCCACTCATCGTACTACAGATCTGGGAGAGGCTTGCCTCCACGGGTTTCTCTTCAGTGTGCCGTCACACGACTCGTTCATTTTGACATGGTCGATCAATGAGCTCTGTTTTAGTATCTGTCCCTCGCTAGACAAAAAGTGTATTACGATCAAACTAACTGAACACACTCTGGCTTGCGGTTTTCAGGTGTTCAGAAGGACCAAGGTGACACACGGGTCTCTATGAGTAGAACTGGACTCACCAAGGTCACCCAGTAATGGCAGCAGGTCTGTGGAAAAGCTGAGCCTCAGGATAGGCAGAAGCAGGGACAACTGGGCTGGTTGGAGGGCCATGGAGAGGTCCTGCACAAACTCTGCAGTCAGACTCTCCTCCAACAGGGTGGTGTTTGTTGTCACGTCTTCAGGCAGGAACACAAACATGCTAATGTCATCCTGCATCTGGACCTGGGCGATCTGTGGGCCTCAGAAAATTCAAATTTCAGAAAACTCATGTCTATTAAAGATTCAAGGGTCTGGAAAACTTTCACCCTCTAGCATTCCAGTGTCCCACCCATGGGACAAACCCCATTGCGTTCATTAAACCTGGTCATTAGGGAGGTGTGTATACCTGCCTGTGATAGAGTGCTCTGCACAGCATGTCTGACAGTAAGTGGTGAGCGGTGTGGTGATGGCAGGGAGCAACCTGCCGGTTGGGTTAGTCAGAGGTGTGGGTGAGGCACAGCTCTATGAGCAGTATCCTCATATTTGTTTAGTGATTTACATGGTAAAAGTCCCCAGTTACCCTGAAATGAATGTGGAAGATTGTCAGTTCTATCTGTCCATTAAAACACTGGTGCACCCTCTCTGCGGCCCCCGTTGGACAGTCTCAATGACCCTAAGTGGCCTAGTGGTCCTGGTAAGAATCCCGACTGCGCCCTCTCCTCCCTGGCACCCTTTAGGAAGTCTTGTATTACCAACCTGGGAGTTGAGATGGACCCCATCCTTAACTTAGATAGCCAGATAACAGCGATTGTAACATCATGTTTTTCCAGCTCAGGCGCCTAGGAAAGATCAAACAGTTTCTCCTGCAAACGCCCCTAGGGACTGTAGTCCATGCCTTTTTAGTCTAGGCTAGATTACTTGGTCTGCTGTTGGGTGTCACCCAGGCAGCGGTTGGCCGCCTCCAGCTGGTGCAGAGCGTAGCTGCATGGATTGTCACAGGGACAAAAAGGTCTGAGCACATCATGTCAGTCTTGTCATCCCTCCACTGGCTGCTGGTGCTCTGAATTTCAAAATCCTATTTCTAGTTTTTAAATCTCAATGATTGTTCTCCAACATGCTCTTCTGACCTTTTACAACCTTATACACGGTCCCGTTCACTAAAGTCTGCTGACTGTGACGATGCGAGACTACTGCCTTGTGGCAGGTCTGCAGCTGTCCATCCAGGTCGGACAGGCCCCCTCCCCATTTTAAGTCTCGTTTAAATACTCACTTTTTATTCTTTGGCTTTTCCATGATGTGGTTCGATGTGGCTCGGACTTGCTTTTATGTGTTGTTTTACTGGTCTACGTTGAGTTTTGAAAGTGCTTTATAAACAAACTGGTATGGTAAAAGGCTTCTACTTGTTTGTTCTGAAGCTGCTGATAGCATAGAGAATCATGAAGCTCTTTTAGCCACTCATGAGCTCATTAGGCTGATGGTGTTACTTCAGTCAGGAATTCCAGCAGAACACTCACAGTGCAGCGCAGGTCCGAGTCCACTCCCATCTTCACAGGGTAGTTATCCTGTTGCATCATGGGAACCTGGACTGGTGTCCCACCATCAACCTGAAAATTCTCCAGCGTTCCACTCTGACTAAAGCGGGTCACCCACCTTCCTGTAGAGGAGCCAGTTAGAACGTCACACAGACTTTCGTAAACCTCTGGACCTGGGCCATCATTCTTCAAACTGTTGAAGAAATATTCCTATATTCTGAACGAAATTTAGAATGTTTGTATGAGCAGTCAAAATCTTGATTGGTCTTCCAATGGCCTCTGGTAAGCATGTACCTTCGCAAACACCTGATGATAAATCCCACCTTTGCGTACCCAGGTGCTTTTGTCCATTCACGGTCATTAACATACATAATAACGCAAAAGTACAAAATAAAGAATACCACTCGATGTGTACATTAGTTCCTACGCACAGATCTGTGCATAAGCACAGTTAATAGATGAGGACAAAGGTCTGAGCCTCTGGATCACTGAAAAGAACAAGAAGGGTCTGAATTTAATGCTGCATTAGGATCCAGTTCTAGAAGCACAAACCCTGACTCAACCAGGTATCTGCAGCTGGGTTAAGGTAGTCTACCCATTATGCCGTTTACCTTTGAAGTAGGTGGAGCTCACAGCATTAACGCCAGAGGTCCGGGGCAAGGGCTTGCTCAGGAACTGCTGCACCTTCCTTCCTGTCTGTTGAGACACCCAGTCATTGACCTCCTTCAGGTCTTTAGCACCTCCCAGTAAGGCTTTAGGGCGTACTCCATACTGCTGCTCAACCACCTTGAAGAAGTCCTGCTTCGGACGAAGTCCTGAAAAGAAACCCGACAGGTCATCTCACACCAAAGATTTAAAGCTCTAGAATAACAAGACTCTGATGAACACTAGACCCTAACCCTATCAAGAACCACAGTCCGGCATTTTGGGAAGGTTTACATCTCAGGACTGAAACTGCTATTTTCAGCCAAAACATTATGACCATTGAGAAGAATTCTTTGTAGTGAACTCACGCCGAGCCATGTAGAGGCGCGCCGCCATGCTGAGGCCTTTCCCTGATGTCTTTACTGAAGTCAGCAGGTCTTTTAGGGTGTTGTGAAGCTGAGCATCCTGCAGGGTGTGGTACCTGAGGGCTCGGTACAGCTGCCTCTGGGCCTGCTCTGAGCCACCTGTGGGACAGGATGGGAGTGTCATCTGGTGTACTTTGGAAAAGTGTTGTAGTCATGGAAGAACATCTGTCTGCTCCGGAACTGAACCCAAAGGGATTTGGAAAAAGGTGTATGGACTTCTTTCCTTCATTTGAACCCCTTTGCAGTACCATGACCTGGATGACTGAGAACCTTCACCAGCGTACTGCTCCAGAAGTGAAAACACCAGCAACACGTAGAACTACAGTCTAGGACCAGTCTTATGGGCCATTCCCATCTGTACCGGGTCGGCCCGGGCCGGGTAGCCCCAGTCGGCCCCAGTCGGCCCCAGCCTGGCCCGGTTGATTCCACACATCCTTGCCTTAAGCCCATGTGGGCTGATTCTACCCACCAATCAGAGGCTTGCTCTAATGGAAGGTGTGAATTTGCTGTCAGCAGTGGGTGTGTTGGCCCTGGTCGGCCTGAAGCAGACCCCCTCGAGAAGAGGGCTGAGAATGAGCCTTGGTTGGCCCGGAAAAATACCAGGCCACCCAGATATGTAAACAACCTACGCTACCCGGCCCGGGCCGACCCGGTACAGATGGGAATGGCCCATTAGACTGAGACCAATGTGGGACCAGTCTACAACCAGTCTGGTACCAGTCTGGGATCAATCTAGGACCAGTCTGGTATCAGTCTGGGATCAGTCTAGGACCAGTCTGGAAGCAGTCTGGGAGCAGTCTAGGTCCAGTCTGGGATCAGTCTGGGACCAGTCTGGAAGCAGTCTGGGAGCAGTCTAGAACCAGTCTAGGATCAGTCTAGAACCAGTCTAGGACCAGTCTAGCAGCAGTCTAGAAACAGTCTGGGACCAGTTTGAGACCATTCCATGTCCAGTCTAGAACCAGTCTGGGACAAGTATAGGACAAGTCTGTGATCAGTCTAGGACCAGTCTGGGATCAGATTGGGACCACTCTATGACAAGTCTAGAACCAGTCTGGTGCTAGTCTAGGGGCAGTCTGGGATCAGTCTGGGACCAGTCTGGAAGCAGTCTGGGAGCAGTCTAGAACCAGTATAGGATCAGTCTAGGACCAGTCTAGCAGCAGTCTAGAACCAGTCTGGGACCAGTTTGAGACCATTCTATGTCCAGTCTAGAACCAGTCTGGGACAAGTATTGGACAAGTCTGAAAACAATCTGGGACAAGTCTAGGACCAGTCTGGGACCAGTCTAGAACCAGTCTAGGAGCAGTCTAGGACCAGTCTGGGAACAGTTTGAGACCATTCTATGACCAGTCTAGAACCAGTCTGGTGCTAGTCTGAGACCAATCTAGGACCAGTCTGGGAAAGGTCTATTATGTGTCTCACCCATGGATAGCTGAGTCAGCACTGCAGACACACTGATGGGGGACAGGAAGATGTTGGCTGAAGCTTCGTGGCTGGCCAGAGCGCGGAACAGATTGTAGCCAAAGTCTGAGATGGCTGCCCCCATTTTGGTCTTTGGTGTCGTGAAGAGTTCCACATGTTCTTCCTCCTCTACAACCACCTCCTCACCGCCAGACTCCAGCTGCAGCAGGGAGACAAAAACCGTCCCAAACTGTGAGTTAGTGCAAACGTGACTGAGCTGCTCCACGCGGCTTTGATCAGGAAGAAATTCTTAGTTGGGTTATTTTTTTCAATTTGACATTTATTTAAAGAGTGACTCCATGAGATGTGCCATCTTGTTTTCATGGGGATCCTGAAATTTTTCCTTCAGAATTGCATGATTGTGTTTGTTCCTTCATATTTATCCATCCATTATCATCCATTGTCCGGGGTCACATGTCGGGTCGTGGGGGCAGCAGCCAGAGCAGAGAGGCCAAGACTTTCCTCTCTCTCCTCTCTCCTCTCTCCGGCCAGTTGGGTCAGTTCCTCTTGGGGATCCTGGTCAGCCAAGAGACAAAATCCCTCCAGTGTCTCCTGGGTCTTCCTTTAGGGCTCCTCCCATTTGGACATTCCTAGAAAACCTCACCAGGGAGGCGTCCAGGAGGCATAACCAGATGCCCGAGCCACCTCAACTAGTTCCTCTCAATATGGAGAAGCAGCGGGTCTTTTCCGAGCCCCTCCGAGATGGCCGAGCTTCTCACCCTATCTCATACTTATGGTGTAAATATGTAGAAATCTCGTCTTTTATGACTAGTTTCTGTCTAAAAAAGACATCCAGGTGTTGACCTGATGTGACCTCACCAGTCCAAATGTCCTTCATATGGTAGTTTACTGATCACACACGAGTCTGTCTAGCACCAGAACCATCAGTTGTTTCTGACCCAGTTTGTTAGCAACTCCTGGTTCAGGTCAACAGGAATCTTCTACCAGGTCTCCCAGAATGCTCAGTAAGAACCAGAACCAGGAGTGTCTCGTGTTCCTCCTCACTGAGCTCCATTGAACCAGGTCTGATCTGGGTCTCAGACAGATTTATTTTTACCATGTCCTGTCTAGCTGTGAAGCTTTCAGAATTGATGTCTGATTGCTGAAGACAAAAATAGAACAAGACCAAAACATCTCTGCTCCCACAACATGAGGATATATAACAGTTTTTACTGAAACAGAAGTAATTTATAGTGTATTTAGTGCCAACCACAGCCTTGGGTCATGGGTTTAAAATGCTCAAGTCCATACTTGTGAGAGCACCATGTGAGCTTGTATATGTAAGGTTTCTCTGTAGGAGTGTCCAATAGTGAGTGTGAGGAGCCACAGACCTGCCCCCAGAGAAGCTGGTGACCACCTCGGATAAGCTTCAACCCCCTCCCGAGAGGCGGAGCGTATCACCCCCGCAACTAGCAGCCGTGCTAGAGCCCCAGGAGATAACGACGGAACCCAAGGGCGCCCAACCCTGGCGAGGACCCAACAGAACCCAGGGATCACGACCCCACCAGGCAGCCACCGGGACCGACCCAACAGACGCCAGAAACTTCCCACCCCTGACTCAGGAGCTGCGAATATGGAGGCAGGCCAAGGCACTACCCACCGGCAGAAATGTTTGGCAGGGGGAGGGTTGGTGAAGATGTTGCAGCACCACTAGATGTCTCAAACTGATTTTTGAAGTCAGTCAGAAAAGTTGTGATACCTCTGGACCATTGGGTTCCTCTCAGTTCAATTCAAGTGTAATTATGTAGTTATATGTAAACATATACAGTTCTCAGGAACCTCGTGTGAAATGTGGTTCCATGGTGAACAAGATGCCAAAGTCCATCAGAGCAGTTAGTTCCTGTCCTCCAGAAGGTTCTACCATCCCTCAAGCAGACTCCAGTATGTTTGAATGTTGTTCCTCATCACATCATTTTAGATGAACTCATCTGAAGATCATGTGAAGGTTTGGAATAAACTTATTTCAAAAGCTTCAGATGCCTTCATCACACTTAGAGCTCAGCTCATCCTCCAAGGTGGCAGCAGCAGCTGTTTCTGTCTCCACAGCAAAACCAGAGGAAGAGCCATCAGTTCGTTTGATCAGGAAGTAAAAACCAACCTGAGCCCAGCAGATGTTCAGTAGAACTACAAACACCAGCAGGAACGTGGTTTGCTTCATCCTGGAACCAAACAGACACATTTATGGAATTAAGTGGAACATTTTTTTTTCAACAGGAATGTTAGGAAGACAGCTGTGAAGCTGAAAAAGTATTGATTCTGGTCCAGAAGGACAAGAAGTGCTTGTCATTTAGTAGGCATGACACAAAATTATGTTTATCAGCAGTGGAGAAGAACAAGCTGATGCTTCTTGGTCTCGTCACATCACAGAAACCACCAAGGAACCAGAACCAGAGGGAAAAATGATCCATCAAGAGTTAAATGTCAACGTTGTTTCACTGCAGCTGCAGCTGGATCTGGTTCTGTTCCACCCACAAGGACTCTTTTGTTCTCAACACATCTGGATCGTCTTGAGGTTTCACAAAAACCTCAGGAAGGCTGACCTCAACCCCTCTCACTCTCTCTCTCTTGCGCGCTTTCTCTCTCTCTCCCTCCCCCTCTTTCTCGCTCGTTCCCTCTCTCACTTTCTCCCTTTTTCACCTTCTATTTCTCTTTCTCTCTGTCTCTCTGTTTCTCTCTATATACCTCTCTCCCTTTCTCATTTTCTCCCTCTCCTCTCTCTCTCTATCTCTCTCCCTCCCTCTCTCTCGCTCCCTCTCTCACTCTCTCTTCCTCCCTCTCTCTATCTTGCTCCCTCTCTCTCACTCTGTCTTCCTCCCTCTCTCTCTCGCGCGCTCTCTCTCTCTCCCTCTCTCACTCTCTCTTCCTCCCTCTCTCTCTCACGTGCTCTCTCTTGCTCCCTCTCTCACTCTCTCGTCCTCCCTCTCTCTCCCTTTTTCACCTTCTATCTCTCCCTTTCTCCATGTCTATCTGTTTCTCTCTCTTTATATATCTCTCTCCCTTTCTCATTTTCTCCCTCCTCTCTCTCTCTATCTCCCTACCTCTCTCTCTCTATCTCTCTACCTCTCTCTCTCGCTCCCTCTTTCTCACTCTCTCTTCCTCCCTCTCTCTCTCTCCCTCCCCCTCTCTCCCTTTTCACCCTCTATCTCTCTTTCTCCCTGTCTCTCTGTTTCTCTCTATATATATCTCCCTCCCTCTTTCTCTGTCTCTCTCCCTTTCTTCCCCTCCCCACCCTCTCCCTCCCTCTAACTCGGATTCCTAACACATCTGTGGTTCTGAATGAATTTAAGGAACAGATTTTTTTTATTTCTAATGTTTTTCTAATTTCTAATGTTGTGCTGAAAATTTTGTATTTTATTTTGAAAATCATTTACTCAAACTTTGTTCTGCCAGTATTTTTTAATGTTGAAATCTGTAGACAGATGTGACTTCCTGTGAATTCTCCTCAAAAATGAGACATAAAATCTGATTTAACATTTTGTTCTTGAGAGAAAAAAGACGTTCTGATGGAGAACCCAACGGCAGCATTCACACTTAGAACAACAGTTAGAATCAAATCCAGATTTAGTCGATATTTTGTGTGTAAAGCCTGATGGATGAGAGAAGTGTTGTTACTCTGAGACCGGCCTGACGGTTCAGAGACTGCAGCAAGTTCTTGTAAAGCTGAAAGCCTGAACCGTCTGGATCCAGATCAGAAGCTAGTTCAGATTGTGGTTCCCTGAAAACTCATTTCCAAAGTACTGCAGAAAATGTAAAAGTTTCAGTAATAACAACTGGTTGTCTCACCTCTCTGGTCCCAGGCGGTCCACGTCGCTCCTGGTTCTGACAAGCTGCTGAGGTGGAGACTCCTGGAACTCCTCCTGCCCCCCCACCCCCCACCCCACCCAGCCCCCACCCTCACATTCGATTAACTCCGAGGAAACTGTAGGGATGTGCACAGCAGCAGTGATGTGATTTTGATGTTTCTGATGTTTCAGTCTGGTTTTAGGGCCGGCTGTAGCACTGGGTCTGCACTGTTGATGGTGGTGAATGGTAGTTTTATGGATCAAGTGCAGCTGTGGTGCTGTTAGACTTAACAGCAGCCTTGGGTGGGAATTACGGGGTTGGCTTTTTGAATGGCTGCAGATGGTTTTGTGTAATGGTGGGCAACTCTGTGTCCTCATGGGAAGACCTGTGATGGGGGGGGGGGGGGGGGGATACCACAGGGTTCAGTCCTGGGCCCACTCCTCTTTGCCATTTATTTGCCCCCATTGGGAGCAATGCTACACAGTTATGGTGTTAAATTTCGTCTGTACGCAGATGACTGCCAGATTTACTGTGTCATGAGGCGGGAGGTTCCATTGCCAAGCTCCTGACTTTTCCGGATGAGGTCAAGCTCTGGCTTGTAAATTACTTCCATGTTAACGAGAGCAAGACTGAGCTTAATAGCAGAGGGGTGTGAGCTCTGCTCCTGATTTGGATGCACTGACACCATACCAACTCACTCAGTCACTTCGTCACTCAATTACTCAGTCAGTCACTCTCTCACTCAGGCAGTAACTCACTTAGTCACTCACTTTCTCACTCACTCACTCAGTAACTCTGTTACTCAGTAACTCTCACTCACTCAGTAACTCACTCAGTCAGTCAGTCACTCACTCACTCAGTCATTTCAAACTGAACATGGTCTTTTGCGGGTACACGTGTTTTGTGCCGATCTCCCACGTGAACCACACCTTCCATATTAGTCAGTGAATTATCTTCACACAGAGCCCAAACATGTAGTTGATGTTTGTGAAGCAGTGAGGGTCAGCAGCATTTATAAATGATCAATAAAATGTGACATTCCATATAATATGAATTATCAATCTGATTGATCTTCGAATGTTTGATTTAGCATTACCTTTAGGTTCGTTAACGGTTTAGGGAACACACACTTCATTTTAATTCAGACAGAGCCAAGGACATGGTTTAATTCTATTGTCCTAAACTAAGGATTATACTTGACAGATTATGGATGAAGTGATGGGATGTAAGCTAGATGCTGACAGCAAACCTGGTTAAGTATCTCAGATCTTGTGATGTCTGGGTTGTAAAATCAGTTTGGCTGTGTGGTTTAATAAGCTAGAGATAATTCATTAAACCATCCAACGCCATTTGTGCCATCTACGAACCCTATGACCACGCAAGCTCATGACTCCTTCGGCTGACACAAAGGTGTCGAGGCCACGTTCGGAGCCCTGAGCCAGGTCGCTTACCAGACATCTCTGACTACATCCAGAGCTGTTTGGTTTGCTGTCAATTTCAGCCATCAAAGCAAAGCTGGGATCGTCCACACCCTGATCTGACCTGCAATTTGATTGGGTGGGGCCCCTGACCAAGACCAACAGGGGTAACAAATACTTCTTGACCGTGACCTGTGCATTCACCAAATGGGTTGAATGTTTGCCAGCGCTCTGCAACATTGCATGTTCATCAGGGGCAGTTCCTGTGGGGTGGTTGACCAGGTGGTGGTCCCAATTTTTAAAAAGGAGGACCAGAGGGTGTGTTCCAACTGTAGGGGGATCACACTCCTCATCCTCCTGGGAAAGGTCTACTCCAGGGTACTGGAGACGAGTGTCCAGTAACCCTAACCGCCAATAGAGAAGGAGCAATGATGTTTTCATCCTGGCTGTGGAACTGTGGACCAACTCTGTGATGGAGGGCTCATGGTGTTTTGTGGATTTAGATGAGGCTTATGATCGTGTACCCAGAGGCACTCTGTGGTGGGGGGGGGGGGGGGGGGGGGCGCTCCAGGAGTATGGTGTGGATGGTGTTTTGCTAAGGGCCACTCAGTCTCTGTACACGACTGTGTTCCCGAGTGTGAGACTTGGGTCACAGCTAAGGAATGTTGGTGGTGAAAATGCTTATTGTGCTAAAAACTGACCGGGAACACTAAAGTAAGGGTGGGAGGTGAACACGACAGGACTTTTAGGCAGCTGAGTCTGTGTGTATGATAATGACTCGGACTTGTATAGCACCTTTCAGAGTCGCTTTACACCACAGTGTGTCATTCAACCATTCACCCCCTGGTGGTGTTGAACTACGGTGTAGCCACAGCTGCCCTGAGGTGCTCTGACAGAGGGGAGGCAGCTGAGCACAGGCGCTACTGGTCTCTCCGACCACCACCAGCAGGTGGGGTGGGTTAAGTGTCTTGCCCAAGGACACAACAACAGAATTATCTGTCCGGATGGGATCGAACCTGCAACCTTCTGATTGCTGGACAACATGCTCAACCTGTTGAGCTACTGCTGCCCCAATCAGCTGAGAGGAGGAAAATCACTTCCTGTTGTGACACTTTAAATTGAGCAAAAGTAAAAGCATCTCTGAATAAAAGCTGTGACCTTTAGGAGCTCCTGATTTTCCAGATGAACTCTGACCTGAACTTGCTGAATCAGTCGAACCATCACCATAAATGAGTCACACAAGGCCAGACTTTAAGTTATGAAATGTTTTTAATTACTGAAAAAACCTGTTCAGTGGAGTCTAAACCGTACGCTAATTAAACACAGACACGAGATAAAAGTAACATCAAGTTTGGGCCCTCAGACCTAAAACAGAGTCAAAGAGATGAAAGCAGATGAACTTCTATCATGGACCAGGTTCAGTCTTTATTCTTAGTGAAGCAGCTCACAAGCGGTTGGTGGTGCTTAACCTGGTTCAGCAGACATTTAGCCTTTTCTTGAACCTGAAACCTTGTTGCTGGCCCACAATTTTCCTAAAAGAAGTGTGGTTCTTCTCCTTGAGTATGACGTTTCCCTCTGAGGCCATCTTTTCCACTGACCTGCTGCAGCTGCTCCTTCTCACCACCAGGGGCACTCCAAGGTGGCTGGCAGCTTGTTGCTGTATTCAATGTTCACATCTCTTTTCTTGTCAGGCTCAGTCATGGGTTGGTTGCTATGGGGAATATAGCTGATTATGGCACCATCATTGGGACAGGGTTTGTGATGACACCCATGAAGAATGGGACCAGAGTTGCATCGTCGACGAGAGCGAAGAGGAACGGGGAGTTGACAGAGAAGTGGGAGATTGAGCGTGTGTGGGTCACAACTGTGGTGGCGGACGCCTCCACACCTTCCTCTCTGTGTTCTATGGTGGTGGCATGATGGACGCTTGACACACGGAGGGGCTCGTCTGAGATCCCGGACAGGTCCGGACCAGAAAACAGAGAGCCGAGGCCTGACGGGGACATCCATAAAGATGGAAACAGGTCATTCATGAAATGTGCTTCCATGGCCAAAATGATTCTGACTTAATGGACTTGTGAAGCATGCTCAACATATCAGGACCTGTCTTCTCTCTACAGGCAGAGCTCAGTGTGGTAGAACACGCATTGATAAGGTTATAGAATGACCTTCATACATGAACAGGAGATCTACTGAAATGCTGATTCAGCTCATTCATGCTGCATAAGCAACTTCTACTCCTCTGCTGTTGATTGGCCTGTAGTTAGTGATGGTTCTTCCAGGTGTCCATTGTACTGTTATGTAGAAGTATTTTTGATTTTCTCAGATTTCCTTAATATATTTTAGTTCTCTAGTATTCTTGTCACCATATACCAGGTTTCTAGCTAAGAAGGACCTCTTCTTCCCTTTGAGGAGTGATTTAAAGTCTTAAGTGTCTCTGAGACTGTTCTTTTAATGATTTTTAATTATATATTTTAACTAGTGATGAGGGTGATCCCGTTGTCCTTTTGTTACTGGGCTTGACTGCTGCCTTTGATACTGTGGAGTACGACATTCTTTTGGATCGTTTATAGAACTGGGTGGGGGTCACAGGGGTGGCACTCCAATGGCTGAAGTCAGGGTTTCTGTGAGTGGATGGGTGAAGCTTCATCACCTTGGGAAAAGACTCCAATGGGGGTTCCTCAGGGCTCAGTCATTGGCCCCCCAATGTTTGGTGGCGCTCCTATGGCTGAAGACAGGGTTTCTGTGAGTGGATGGGTGAAGCTTCATCACCTTGGGAAAAGACTCCGATGGGGGTTCCTCAGGGCTCGGTCATTGGCCCCCCTCTGTTTGCTCTGTTCTTCCTGCCCCTGGGGGGTCCTCCTTCAGTGCTGTGGTGTTAAGTTTCATTTCTACGCAGATGACTGCCGGATCTATCTTTGTATCTCTTGGGCAGCAGGTGGCTCTGTGTCTTTCCAAGTGGCTTGTTTAAAGTCCTGGTGGTCTGTAATTTCCTGTTTATAAATGAGTCCAAAATTGAGATCATAAAACTCAGCCCTGGTGAAAGAGCTGAAGCAGGTGGTGAGACTGACGTTGCCTCCTTAGCTCAGTATGAGAAGAATGTGGTCTCTAATTTGAGGGTAAAAACTGATGCGGCCCATAAATTTCATAAACAAATTAACTTTATTTTTATTTTTTATTTTTTACGATGGCTAAACAAGATCAAGCCCCTGTTGTCATTTGAAAACAGTGTTGCATGCTTTAATTGTGTCTTGCCTTGATTATTGTTTTACATCAGGCTGCAACCGCATGGTTCCAACTTGTTCAAAACTCTGCTGCCAGATTTCTGACTGGGACAAAAGGATGGATCAAATTGACCTGTGCTAGCATCTCTAGGCTAGTGTCACTGGTTTCCGTTACTATTGGACACACTGCCTTGGGAATGCAGACATGACTGAGCACGTGGGCGGGACAAACAAGCTCAGAGAAACCCTCTGTGTTTCCATTATTAGACAAAAGCAGTCTAAGCATTCTTGCTTTAGGGTACTCTCTGACTGAAGGTTCATCCTGCTTTACTGTGTCTGGCAGCAATGTGTGTGTGTGTGTGTGTGTGTGTGTGTGTGTGTGTGTGTGTGTGTGTGTGTGTGTGTGTGTGTGTGTGTGTGTGTGTGTGTGTGCGTGCGTG